ACGTACCTACTACGTACGAACTAACTACTTTACTTACTAAGTAAATAATTAATACTACTACGTCGTACTTACTACACACACACACACACACACAATATATATATATATATATATATATATATATATATATACATACCCTTTTAAATATACAAATGATACTTAATTCTAATGTTAATGTCTAGTATGCAGATCTTCGGTCAGCTTCATCGGGTTTTAGATCCAGATGAACCTGGGAGGGTCAGATGCAAACTTGACCTTTTCCTCCCTCAGCACTGGTGTGATGGATGCACTGTTAGAATGTTAAACGCGCATAAACGAGGGCGTTGAATACACAAAATTTTATAATATGATATTCACTACCCTTATCAGAACCATGTCCTTTTATGTACAACGTTTATCATTCCCATTGAGATACACTTGCTTTAAGAGTCCATATATACCAATGTTTCATTTGGTAGTTTATACTAAATGTATTTACATAAATACCTTTTATATTTTATAAACCACAAAATAATATATTATGTAAGTCTAGCAATACGTGGCTTATTACTAACCCTATGGTACATGTTAATAGGTGAGAGGTCCATCATGTATGATATTGCGTACCATTTCATTTTTGTGTAAGTTTTTCATAAAATATTCTTATGATCTGCTTAGAAGTCCGTCGTGAAGCGGTTGGATGTTTGCATATTTGTGTAGAAATTGTGAATTTGTTTTTCTACGGTCTTTGTATGCACTTATTAGAATTGCATTTTGCAGTTTCTGGAGTTTACTTTTATTTTCATGGGAGCTACATTGATCCATGCTGGGCTAGAATATTCTATAACTGGTCTTAGGGACTGTTTGTATGTTATATGGTGTTGCGCCTGTATTATTCCCCGACAGACTTCTAACTTGATTTACTCTTCGCCAGATGTTATTAGAAATTTCATTTCCATGTTTTTGCCAAGTTAATTTAGTATCATATGATAGACCGAGAAATTTTGCTGAAGTAGCTGTCTAGAGGAGTGTTCGTTGAAGATATAATTTTGGGGTAATTTTCAGTAGTCTCTTTTGTTGAACAAGTACAAGAATTTATGTTTTTGGTATGCAGAGAATGCAAATATTGCTTTTGTTTAAGTTCCCGCTCTTTTCTGATTCACACCATTCAATTTCCGGTTTATACTAGGGTTAGAATAAGCGCTTAAGTCTTAATTTTTAAAATACCTCTTACTTTTTGATGTAGAATACAGTTTTCTGTAAAAGAAAAGTTCAAGATTAATATTAAATTTAATGAATTAAATGTACCAAATTCAGACAATAGAAATTTTGACCACATCTCTACTGTGAAATGGGCTGCTTTGAACAAGAAGCGACGCAACTGCTGTACCATTTCTGTCAAATTTCTCAACTCGACTTCTACACCTCCTCACTTCCGATCCACTTCCCTTGTCTTACAACAATTTTCTTGGATAACGCTACTGAAGATCTTTGCAGGGATTTTGCTCATTTTTAGTAAATTTGTGCTTATTTTCCGCGTTTTCAAGTGGAAAAAGATGGAGAGCGTCTCCTTAAAATAACCTGAAAAGCTTTTAAGATAAGACATTTAAAGTGCATTACAAGAGATTCAAAACAAGTAAGCCGGGACTGTGGGCTTTCACCAAGGACAGAGCTGGGTATGCAGCTTTGGTCTCAAAAAGTTAGTCTTATTGCACATCTACTTAATGTATAGTTAAGTTTTCTTCAGGAGTAAACCTAATGCATTCCTGTAGTTACATCTAAAATTTCCTACACCTAGAAAGGTTACCAGACCTACCTTTCTTGTTGGCAGTGTATGGACTTGGATGATATGACGTCAGATATTTTAATTAAAGTAATTTGCAGTTGAGTCTAGAATTAATTATTTTAAAATGTTTTTCATCCTATTTTGGCTAAAAAAAAATCTAAGCGATTGTTTTAAGGCCCGAGTTAAGATTTAAGGTAAAGATAAACTCCCAAATTATGCCTCAACTTAAAGGTTGCATAATGCAGCTAAGATGTTTTCCATGAATCAAGTTAAGAGTTCGTTTAATCTTCAACCAAAGCCTCAAGATGACAAAAAAAAAGTTTTTTTTTTTCATTATAGACACTTAAATTTTTAAGTTTATTTTTTCGAAGTGCTCGATATACATTTTTGATATTTTTTCCACATTTTTCAGGGGTTGGAAGGCTAAAGTAAAACTTAGTTATTTGATCGTCTACGTTACTTCGATCATTATAGTATTAAACTAAACGTTAATTTTTAACTTTGTGGTTAACCTTATGTTTTTTTTTCTTGTTCTTAATCAGTATTTATATCATAATGTCAATGTGACTCGTAGGTTTGATATTAGGAACGAACTTACGCGACTTTTTCGGTTATGTACTTTCTGAAATTGTATTGATTTCCAACCATTTGAATTGTTATTTCCTTACATTCATAATTTAAATCTGCAGTTACTACGAGTAATTGTTATGAACAAAAGGTCACATTACTACTAGGAATAATGTTGAGGATGAAAAAAGTTACACGTAATTACTAAAAATACTATCCAGGAACAAAAAGTTACACATTATCGCTACGTTAAATGTGTTTGATGCTCGTATTGTCTATTAATAAGAACTTGTATGAGTGAAACGGAAGAAGTGTATACTTTCATGTCAGCAACAACATATCATCTGCTTTATCCAGTGCCGACGAGGCCTTTCGCAAAATACCAAGGCTCTTCTGCCTGTCTGGGATACGATATTTATAGTAATGGTGGAACATTACTTACATTAGTAAATCGCTTTACGGTATGAACTGGATTAAGTTTGTGAGGTGTGATTTTTTTTTTTAGGAATTTTATTTATGTCGCAACAAATCAGAATTATGATAAGGGTTTTTTAATACTTATTATTTATTTTTTAAAACATGATTTCCTGGCTCACAACTTAAACACCATAAAATATTAGACATCCGCAACCTAGGATTTGAACTGTTTTTCTTGCATGAATTTAAATAAACTTCTTTCTTCACATTTCAGGGTTTTGGAAGTGGCGACTTCTTCGGACGTGGAGACATAGATATTGATGAATTCGAAGACGTAAGTTTCTAGATATTTACAACGTGATGTGTAACTTAGTCCCGGCACGCCAAAATTACTTGCTTAAGAGAATATTAGTTTAATTAAACTTCCCATCATTACAAGCATAAAATAAATAATAAAAGTTATTTTAAAATGAGTTAATATAACAGTAAACGTGCATAAACATCATACCTTTACTTTTAGGTTAGGCTAAGGTATTCCGAAGTAAAACTAAAATCCACGAATATGTAGTATGATAAAGCTCGTCATCTAAACATGTATAAACAAAAATAAAGTACGATAAAAATAAATATTGTACTCGGGTAAGAAAAAGGAGAAAAAAATTCATGTTAAATATTTTGTCCGCAGAATACTGTAGAAGAACGAATTAGTAGTATTGATTTGCTTATTCATCTAATAATAGTAATATGTATTTAATTTTACGTTACCTGTGGTCAAGCCTTATGATTAACTTCCCAGGATTATGAATCATAAGGTTCATGGATCGTGTTCTGTTGCTGCAAAGAACTTGCTCCGAACTTTAGGACCTTAATTGTGCAGCAAAATTGACGGTCAAATCCCACTATCCGGTCAGACATGAATAACGATGAATGCTGTGTGACTAGCCCTTTAGTTTATCGATAATCCTTCGTATAACTTTGCGCAAAAGTTCTTAAACAAACAAGAAACAAGTAGTAACTGAAGTTAGTAAAGGGCAACTCGTACACCACACAATTACACTTTTTTATATGTAAGCATTATCTTGTTTTAATTTTTGTGTTTCTAATCAAACAATGTGTTCAGTCAGATTTTGCTTTGAATAGAAGAAAATTCATGTATAACACTGTTTGTAAGACGATATTTTACTTGAAAAATGAAAACTTAAAAAAAATTGTTACATTTGTGCATCACCAGGTAGCGCTTGAGTTAGAATCGTAAAAATTAAATTTATTCAGTTTCCTGCTATAAGCTTCAGAGATCGTCACTGATAATTAACAAAGTCGTGAACATTCAAGTGATTCGTGCAGTCGTTAAGGGATTGAATAAAACCCGTTTGCATGACCAAAAGATATTCATCTAGACGTTTTGTCGTGCTCGAGATTAATAATGAAGACAGATCACTTTTTATGATACTTCTTTTTATTTACTGATGCTGTGGTATTCCTAGCCTGTACTATATTTTTTTTTCACGATTACCGTTGTACAAAATCTTAGTTATCATGTTATGGTATTATACTTATAACAGTCTTTTATTCTTAAACACTAGAAATTTATGAAATAGCTGTTTTTCCATTTGTATCTGTTAATTTTTTTTAAATAGCTGTTGCCCATCAATAATTCCAAAAACCATCTTTTTTTTCCCTTCTTTTTTAAGGATGTATATACATATATTATTATTAATTTGTAACCACATTTTCCTGTAGATTTTTGATGATGATGAAGATGTATCATTAACTCCTGAAGAGGGAAGTGGATCTGATTATCAAGGTGAGCCGTTAAATCAGACAGCATAACGTAACTAAATAGTAAAGTGCAGCATTGGTTAGATCTAAAATATAAAAAAAAATGGTACTTTAATTAATGAGCTATTCATATAAAAATAATTCAATGAGTCAGATTCTTTTAACATACTGTTTAGTAATGTTGTGCTGATCTGGTTTAACATCTCAATTTGTTTATCAGATGCACTTCAATGTTTAGTAATGTTATGCTAGTCTAGCTTAATGTTGCAACTTGATAGTTAGACGATGATTTATAGGAAATTCAACTTTAAAATGTTTTGCAAGGATTTACGGATCAATAGGGATTACAAAGATTAAATCTCATGTTCTTCTGAGCTTTTTATGTTGCATTTTAAGAGCTACCATATAACATAGGTGTATATATATCAGCTACAGTTTTATTTTGGAACATATTATAAAATTTTACACATTTAAAGCATAAACAGTGAAGACCCAAAAAATTTTAGAATTATTTATGATATTTAATAATCTCAGGATACCACCTGAATGTTGAAGCAGTCCATAAAGAACTGTGATAAGTCTGAAATATATAAAATAGTCATATAGAAAAGTTTGCATTAATTCACGCTATCTGTACCATTATTAACTACAGTTTTTTATAATTTTTTTAAATATCACCCTATTGAAGAAATTCGGGAGTACAAATAACCAATGAGTAGGAAATAGCAGAATTTCAAATTCAATATGCATTTTCTAGATGATTTTTTTTTCATAAATGCATGACTGCTATGTAAATGATTATTGATTAGAGAAGTTTATAAGATTATGTTATGTGTTTTTTTACTTGTATAGCAAAGTGTGTCTTAAAAATGTCTGATTTTTTTTTTCTGCTACTAACTGGATTGGACAATTATGTAAGTGATTTTTATGGGTATTTTAATTTTTTCTTAGTGAAAAACAACAACCATAGAGATTTGTCTTTTAGGAAACATTCAATTAGAATTTTGGTAAAAGACTGAGAGAAAAAAAGTAAATAAAAGCAAGCAATAAAAGTTCAGATTTTAGTTTCCCCAAGATAAACGCAGGAGTTTATTTCTTATGTTGCTAAGTAAAATGCATGATCACAATAATTTTAACCTAATGAATTGAATCTTTATAAGATTTTTTTAATTTTCAGATAGAATATAGTGATATTTAGAATTAAATTGTAACCTATACAATATCTTTCAAAATATGACTTCACATCTTTGCAATAATACAGTCATAGTGTGTGATTTCTGAAAATATATGATGTGTAATTCGTAAAAGGGAAAAAAGAATTACTGAATGTAACAAATGTAAATTAATTGTAATAAACTAATCCTTTTCACAGGAAGAGGGATCTTAAAGATCAACTGATTAATTTTAGTAATAAATAATTTACCATGAGGTAGTAAAATAATGCTACAATGTCCTTAAAAGGTTAACAGTAGTTAATTTTATTCTGATTTATACTCTGTTTGTTTTGTAATATGTATGTAATGAATTCATATGGAAGAATGTTTCTGGTCAGCCAATTCTATTTCCATTTTTGTTATTTTTAACATTTTTCTTAAATGACAACTTATCAAAGAAATTCAGGAGTAAGATGGGCAACAAGTAGAATATAACAGAATTTTAAATTCAGTATTCACTAATTTGTAATTGTAATTATAGGTCCTCCTCCTCTTATTACTCCACCACCTCCAGGACCAGGAGTATTAGGTATTGGAGGTATGTTTTTTATTATTAATGGGAATTATAAATTTTCAAAGTGAATAGTGCATGAGTTTTTTTGCTCTACTTTGCTCCAGAAACCAAAACTGCCGAGTCAAGTGATCTGATATTGTATAGATTAGTGTTTTCTGTTTGTTTGTTTGTTGTTAAGCATAAAGCTACACAATGAATGATCTCTGTTTGGGTTATCGTGGGTAACAAAACCTAATTTTTAGGGTCAGATTTACTTCTGATCTTCCGGGGAGTATAGGTTTGTAAGAAGAACAGGCTGTTCCAGAGTGTTATCAGAGCATCAAATATGTTGATATAATAAGTTTTTTTGGAGAAAAGATCCTCCTTCCTTTAAGAGAAAACTTGCCCTTAGAGAAGGAGGGTATTTTTGTTTTGTGATTTGTCAATTTTTAGATTTTACATCATTTCTTAGTGTCATGAACAAGCTCTTTTATATTTTATTGATAATTTAATGAATGTTGAAAATATGCATTATAAACCATTATTATATATAATTAAAACTTTGTAATATTTTTTTAATTAGGGTTGCTGTATGATTGTCTACTTCATGAAATTTATACATAACATTATACACTAATTAAATTGATACCAATTAAAACTAACATCTTCCTTTTAACAACTCACAATATTTGTGTTTTGTTTTCAACATTTTCACTTGTTTCTTAAGTCACATAATATAAACATTGCACATGCGATTTTTGTAAAGTTAAAAAGTGAATTTAATATCTAATTTTTCATTTTGTTTTTATGTGTTCAAATGTACTTTATGAAGTTGTTACATTTTGAGTTTAGTCACCAGTTGATGCTCAAAATCAAATATATGCTTTTAGCTTAGATATGTAAAGTACTTAGTATTACATGCTGTTTGAATTAGGATAAGACTCCTCATTCTGAAAGGCAGCAACACATTTAACATTGTTCTGATTGTTTATGAAGTCCCAAGAACAACCCAAAACTGTTACATTTTCCATCCAATTAGAGCAAGAGCTATCCTGTCTCTTGTATAATAAACTTCAAGAGAGATTTATTTGAGAAAAATTCTCTTAATGCATTGCTTCATTGGTACAAGAGCAAGTTATATTTAAGAGGAATTTAGTAACACCTTTAGATTTAAACCTTAACATATGCTGTTGTACAACTGTTTTTTTTTGTTTTTGTTTTTTTAAACTGACAAGTTTGTTATAATGAGTAGAACAAGGCTTATTAATAAACAGCACAAAAAAACTGGTAATTAATATATAGGCTTAGTCCTAATTTAAACGTTATTTATTATTGAATTTTTCATCATATAATTTTGCAGAAATAGGGCAACCTGGGCCACAGGGACCACCAGGTCTTCCAGGACCAAAGGGGGAACCAGGAAAAGATGGTCAACCTGGTCAGAAAGTGAGAAATTGTGTTTATTTGATTATACACTTTCCTTTACGTATGATTGAAAAAAAAAATAGGTGTACACATAGTGTGTGAATTTTCTTATTAATTGTAGAGAAAGATTGCACTGTTTTTACAGACAGACCAATAAGTATTGAATTTGAAATTTTTCTCACTTAACTACTCATTGGGATGAAATACCATTATTATTATTAGTGTTAAGTATTGCTGGACCATTGTATAATAATCCTAGTTATTCATAATTAGACTATATGATAGTCCTCATAGATGTTCATATTCATATTAGGATTATTTCTTAGTTTATAAAAGTTGAAGATTTGACATTTAATACACACAAACACATTTTTACAGTAGAATAGTGTCTCCAAGCATGAATTATAGCACTTTTGCATTAAGTAAATAAACTAGAATTTTGTAGTTAGCACTGTGGGTATTTTTTCAAAGATGTCTATAACCTGAGCCAAAAAATAACAATTACTTGGACAAAAATAGTTCAATTTCTTTAATGCTTTATCAAGAACTACTTTTCATAGATGCATGAAACATGGACTTGCAGCTGTTAAAACATAGTACAAATTAAACATGTTTTATTCTATAAAAGAACATATATTGCTCCTACCATAAAAAGTCTTAATGTAATTGTTAAAGCACACAATTTTCCTCTAAAGAACCAAGTTGGATTCTTGTTTAAGTTTATTGTTTGCATGTTTCAGTTTGTATTTAAAAGAGCACTGCATTATTAAAACACTATTAAATGTGTAACAATAAGAACTTCAGTTTTCAGTCATACAAATGGCTTAATGCAGTAGTTCCTATCCATCTATAGTTACTTTCATGAGAAGTGACAGACTGAGTTTTACAGAGCCAATAAGTAATAATAGAAAGGACTAGCAACACGAGTTCCATAAAACCAGCCTTGTAGACACTTTCAGGAGAAGTGAGTGACTGAAGAGTTTTACTAGTAAAAGTGTGCATACTAATGATATTATTTTAGCATAATTATACATTATCAAAATTTATTGAACCTGTTCATGGAGCAATTACAATTGAAAGTTTATTTTCATTCCTTAGGGGGAACCTGGACAGGTGGTCAGCAAGTATCCTTCATTTAAAGTTACAAATGGTTCTAAAGGAGAGAAAGGTGTACGTGGAGATGTTGGATTACCAGGACCACGTGGACCTAAGGGTGATCAGGTATGTCTCCGACTTCAATATTGTAAAGATAGTATTTGGTAATGAAAGTGGCATAACACTTGTCATGCAAGGTTTGTTGTACTAGGTATATGCAACTTGTCATGCAAGGTTTGTTGTACTAGGTATATGCATGGTCCAGGTGGTCCAGGAGGGCCTGGCGGGCCAATCAAGCACTCTCCCTGGAAACATTTAATACTACTTTTGTAAAAATCTAAATGTCATAAACAAGTCTTGTATGACAAGTTGCATATACCTAGTACAACAAACCTTGCATGACAAGTTCTTTCACACACCCAGATGGCAGTGGAATTGGAAGCTGGAGTCCCATAGATCTAGGATCGGGAGAGCAAGACAACTTTGTGAGTTCTTCTAAAAATCAGTATACTTGTGATTTAAAAGCTGTGGGTCAAAATGACCTAGAAGCTCAGTGATGAATGACTTCTAATGTTTTTTACTACAATGCAACATAGTATACTTTAATTAATAACTATATCTGAAAAGTATTTACCATATTATTGTTAAATGAATCTGTGACAACATTGTCATGCGAAAATACTGGCCATGTAATAAAATGTCTGGTAACTTTAATGGTAACTTATTTCATAATATTTTTTTTTCCTTTTCCTTGTCAAATTAAACTTTAATAAATATTTGGTAAATTGATAATAATAATTATATTTATAATGGACTAATAGATTTTGTAAAGAAAAAAAATCATTTTCCTTGTTTGCAGGGATTTGTAAGAAGGATAGAAGGTCCGTCTGGACCTCCAGGACCCCGGGGTCCCCCTGGTCTTCCAGGTGTTTGTACTAACATGTCCTTGAATACTATACCTGGCCCTCCAGGACCTCGTGGTCTTCCTGGCTCCCCTGGTGCAGATGGTCGAGATGGAATTCCAGGGACACCAGTATGTTTATTAAATTTTGATCTAATTACACAATGAAGAATAGAGACAAAGCAGTACCACATATGTAATTTATCAAAGTTTCTGAAGATATGATCTATCATATATGATGTAATTTATCAAAGTTTCTGAAGATATGATCTATCATATATGATGTAATTTATCAAAGTTTCTGAAGATATGATCTATCATATATGATGTAATTTATCAAAGTTTCTGAAGATGTGATCTATCATATATAATGTAATTTATCAAAGTTTCTGAAGATGTGATCTATCATATATGATACAACTTATCAAAGTTTCTAATGATAAGATCTATCATATATGATGTAATTCATCAAAGGTTCTGAAGATACAATCTATCATATATGATGCAACTTATCAAAGTTTCTAATGATAAGATTTAGTTTTGTTAAGCTCTTTCCTTCTAGTTTGCTCACCTTTCAATATATCAGTTAAAAAGGAAATTAAAGATCCACATTACTTTTCCATGTTACTTTCTAGCTGTTGTTTTTAACTGTTAGCAGAGGACTAAGCAATTCTTAAAATGTGAATCTTTCAGTATTTTAACTTGATACCTTCTTTTATTTTATTATATTCTGTATTGCAATTAAGTATAATAAATACTTGTCAATGCACTTGGAGAATGTTTAAGAATTCTTATAATAAAAGGCCCAATGTATTTGATGTGGAATTCATTCCAGTGTACATAATACCATTATAATTAAGATTGCTAGAAAATGTCCATAAATTTCTGTTTGATAACCCTCATATATTATCTGTTAATTAAAATTGTTGAGCAACATATTATTTATAGGTCTTTTTAGCTGCAACATTGAAGCTCATAGAATGGCTCTGAGTTTTAAAGTACAAACTTTTAGCTCATAGCTCCATCATCTCTTGACCAATTTGAGATCTAAATATGGTTTTGTACTCTGGAGGTCAAACCATTTCGATTGATGTATTTGACCACCTCCAAGGTCTCATAGATTAATTTACTCTAATCCTGCCTGACAGAATTTCAATTTGAGGATAGGTTGGTAGAGATCCTGATGAGTAATAAAATTGAATTGGGTATACGTGTACCCCACACTTGGTATTGCTAGCACACAAAATAATTTAAAGTGCTGCAGCTATTGAGGATTCCCTCTTGTTTTTATATTTCTATTCATAATTAGTTAATATCCATTTATTTCTTTTATTTGTTTGAAGTTCTAAGCTTCCTCGTTAGGACTCTTAGAATAATAAAAGTGGAAATTATACACTGAAATAGATTAGGCTCAAATTCTAGTTCCTCATTTTCTTTGAGCAAATTGGTACTCTTTACATTGACAATTGTTCAAAATATCTTTTAAATAGCTATTTTGGTTAATGTGACTTTTACAATTTTCCTGATTTAAGTTTGTTATGCTAGGATTAGAGCTTGCAGTGTCCTGTTGCAATTTTTTGAGTGAAAGAACATTTTGTGTGTAAAACTTGGAATTTGGATACAAGATGTTGATATCTCTACTCACAATAGTGTCTACAACGTATTTTTCTGTCACTAATAACTTTTCTTTGAGTTTCTATTTTTATTTTATTAGAGTATAGTATATCCATATTAAAAACTGTGTTTTTGTCTGAAAAGGGAATGCCTGGTTTTAAAGGAGAGACTGGACCAGCAGGACCAATAGGGATGAAGGGAGATATGGTAGGATGAAATTTGTTGTTTTACTAACAATATGATGGAAGAATATATAAAGTAGGAAAAAAACAACAACAAAGTAATCTCTTTCTCTTTATAATACTTGTTTTTTCAAAAATTGAATGGAAATAATGATTTTGAATTACCCATGGTCAGTGAATAAATTTATGGATAAAAACAAAAAATAAATTTGACTGTTTGTTCATACAGCTTTTTAAATCATTAGATATGTTATTCTTACAAACTTAATGTGTTAATTCAAACCATTAAAAGACTAATTGCCACCAAAACATATTGCTTTCCCTAACCAGCAGTTTTAACAAGCTGTATGCTGTATTATAAAGTACCTAAATTTAAAAAAACAACAACAACAAAAAAAAACTCTAGATACACCAGAAACTGTATACATTTCATGTGTATGTTCAGCAGGCTTTGATTTGACTGTCATAAAATATGTAGTTATTTCTACTTGAAATGTTATTTTAATTTTACCAGATGATAATTAAATGTTTCCACCTTGGAATGCCTGGCTCTCTTCCCAGGTATTCAGTTTATGTTAAGTGAAATGTGCACATAACCAGTAATGAGTGTTTTAAAGTTGCCCTATTGAAGTCAAAACTTGTTTTAATTACAAAGTTTTGTGTATTTTAAATTCATCTGTTATACATGATAAAACATAGCTTTAGATATATAATTATATTAAAGTTTGGGTGTGGACCAATTTTATTCTGTATCCAAGTTCTTAAAAGAGATTCGAACTCTCTGCAAATGATTAATAATATAATTTAGTTCTTCTTGTGTGGGGAAAAAAAAGTTGTATGATATTTTGTAGATGGAGACTATTTTTTTAATATTTTTGTGGGATCTGAGATTTGCCAATATTTTTTAATTCGTTTGTGGGAAATTCTTGTCTATGGTTATACTTGTGATATCACTCGGTATATAGATTTACCACAGAACAAAAGTAAGTCCTGTTAACTGGAGGCTCAAAGAAAATCAAGTTACAGAGTGTTTATATCTATCTTTCCAAACTTTAAGTGAGTTAGTTGTGAAGAAATAGTTGACATGCAAAATATGTGACTACACCAATATTTATTAATATAATCAACATGAGAAACACAAAACAAAACAAGGGCAAGTGTGTATATATTTTAACTAATGCTATATATTTTGACTAATAGGGCGAGCCAGGACCTATTGGATTACCTGGAATACAGGGTAAAAAAGGGGAACCAGGTATGGATGGGATACCTGGATCTTCTGGACCCCGAGGATTTCCTGGACCTCCTGGCCCACCTGGACCACCTTCAAGTCCAAGAGGAAGCATTTTTGATGTAAATTTTTTGAATGTTTTACAAGCTATCTTCACATGTCAAATTTGATAAATTACAGTAGTGTAAATATATTTAAATGAAAGTGTATAATTGTAACTTTCTCGATTTGATTTCAGTAAGAACAATTAAGGTATAACACATAAAGCATTTAACACTGTTCCATATTCTCGTATAGATATTTTGTGCCATGCAATACCCTTAAAAATATATAATTTTTAAGAGTGAAATTGAGATAAAAATTCATTAATTGTAAATTATGAATGCATTTTCTGTGTCTGTGTGTGGTTGATACACAAATTGATCTTTCTCTGTTCTTCTTTCACCAGTTCGATGGATCTTTTTCTTCTGGTATTTATGGAGCATCCGGTGATGGTTTATTGGGATCCTATGCAGAGAAACCTGGGCCCAGAGGTCCACAGGGTCTGCCCGGAGTTAGAGGTCCTTCAGGTCCAAGAGGAGAAAGAGGTTATCCTGGTGAAAAAGGAGAGCCAGGCATCCAAGGAATTCGAGGAGACAAGGTATGTTAGGATTAGTTTCATGATAATGTTTATTTTAGTGACATGAAACTTTAAATACTGCAGTTGGGGTTTTCTCATGTTTTTCTTGTCGTATTTTGGCATTATGAGATTTTAATAACTCTTAATCAAGACACAACTATTTCATTAAGTAAATCTGGGAATATTTCATGAAAATTGTTACACTAAATGATTCACTTATAAATGCTTAAATATTTCTTGTATTAGGGATCTGTTGGGCTACCTGGTGCAAAAGGAGACATGGGACTTCCAGGATTTGACGGAATGCCAGGCCTTAAAGGTTCACTTGGAGAAAAAGGACAAAAGGGAGAAAAGGTGGGATAGATAAACATGAAGTGCAGATTATAAATACTTAAAAGTGATGGTTTCTTCACTTTGTTTATTTATGACAATTTCTAAGCTCATAACTATATTAATGATACTTCTAAAATGTTAAATGAGTCAAAAAAGAAAATGCTCGTAAAAATTATGTGAGGTTCATTATTAGTCTATATAGTGAAACACATTAACTGATGTGAAAGATGCAACACCTGTACTGAGCCAGTAATTCAAAGTAAGGCATGAAAACAAAAGCATGAATTAAAACATTATAGTTTGCTGGAACATCATGTTCTCTGTATTAAAAATAGTTTTTCAAGCCATGCTTTATAATGCTGTTTTTATGCCTTAGTTTTGTATACTATGTACTTCCATATAAAGAATTACACTACTTAAATTCTTAGTTTGTGATGATAATATACCATAACACAATGAATAAGATGTTAAGAAAAATTTTTTATTCTGATTTGTTTTAATCTTTGCTATCCATTAGCTTTACGGAATTCTGCATGTTGAACTTTTATAGTAAAAGAACAATGATAAGGCACAGTATGTTAAGTACTTTAGATTTAAAATTCAAACTTAAGCCTATATTATTAGCATTTTATTTACAGTAAAATAGCATTCCTTTAACTTAGAATTTATAAATGTTAATGAAAAGATTAACCTGAGATTTCTCTTTATTGTCTAAAATTTTTAGGGAGATGCAGGTCCTCCAGGAGATGGTGTTCCTGGACCACCAGGTCCACCAGGATCTAGTTTTTCTGAGGGTGATTTAGAATCGATTATTGGGCCACCAGGTCCAAAGGTTAGTTTTTTAACACTTATGAATGAATGTGATGGGAAATAATTGACATAAAACATGATCTTTGATAGCTCCATTTGTAAAACACTTATTTTGTGTGGGATCTTTGGATATTAGTTACAATTTTGTAATACACAGAATTTCCAATCAGTACGTTAAACTTAACTACTTTTATAACACACAGTGATTCACACACTTTGCTTAAGGTGCCAACTGTTCACTTGACTCAGTTATCTATATCTTCAATCTATCTGTATATCTCTCTATCACTGGCTTTATTTGCCAGGCTTGTATACTAAAAAAGAGGGTGCCTAGCAAACACTCGGACATTCGCGGGTTCATAATTCATGATCCTTCTAGAAACTCCAGCGTCGCGTGACTTCTGCTGTCTTAACAATATTGTATTCTGTATCCATTAAAATGTGGAACTATTACTGATTGTTTTGAATAAGGAAAAATAAAAAAGTGTTAGAAATGCTCACAATTTTTCTATGTTTAATAGCAGAGTTAATCAGACTGATTATTCATAGAGAAATAACTTTTAAATATTTTAAAAGCCACAAAATAAGAACCTTAGCCAGTTGATTCTACTGTTCTACTACCACTGCTGTATTTGTAACATTGATAATCATAACATATTTACTTTGCTCGATCTGCATTACTATCTACTTACAGGCCATTCATTAGTTATTTTGTGGTATGTATAATTGATTTCTATTAGGGATTTGAAAGAATGGTGAACAACATAGTGGGCTTCCCATCAAGCTCTGTAATTTACAAAACTATAATAGGAAGTAAATAGAAAATAATCATTAAGATACTTAATGTTGCCTAAAAAGTAAAAAATGTAATTATATAAGCTGTATTAATGTTTATGATAAAAGAAATAATTTCACATTTCAGATTTTTGGAATTCCCTCTCCAAATAGTAATGTACCACCAAATGCCATACAGTGTATTATACATTCACAGTCTCTTTGGTTTTGTAAAATGTATAGCAATATACACTTTTTAATATCTAACATAAATATATTAGTACAAAAACTGATTTTTAGTAGATTTGATGAAAAAAAAAACCTCAATCAAATATTTTAAATTATTTTATAATAAATATAAAATTATTTACATAAACTTAAAAATAATGACATGAATAAGATTATATAATATATACAATAAAAAAAAATAATTTCTAAAATTTATTGGAGGGGAAGTAATTAGAGTTGCTTATGTAGAAAATTTTGTATCTTACAACTACTTTAGTCCACATACGTATCACCTTCCCTATATAAAACCTGCTAATGTGTGTGAATCTCTTTAGAACCATTGAAAATCCAGATAGTAGCATAGAAGGGTGGAGGATGGGAGCTATACTAATAGTAAAAAGTTGGGATTGGTATAGTAGTACCTTAACATCTTGGTATTTATATCCAAACATCATACTGGGGGCTCGAATGATAACTTCAAGGAGAGTTTTGCTGTCTCCCTAATGGATACATAGTATTTTAATTATTATCTTTCTTACTTTCTTTGAGCAACCACCTTCTGGCTGAAGATAGTGAAAGGTGGTCAAGATTTTTTCAAGTGTATGTTTTTTTTTTTCTGATTCGTTTCTACAAAATTAAATTTAATTATATATTCTTAGGGAGATAAAGGAGACATTGGAGAAACTGGCAAACCTGGACTCCAAGGAGAACCTGGACTTCCTGGACTATTTGGATTAAAGGTAAAACATTTGTTTTAATTCACTAAACTACAGAAATTTAAAATACCTTCAATTTTACATCTGCTTATACTTTCATACTTCTTGCCATACCTCGTACATTTTTTTTTAATGCTAGATATATATGTGATTTTCATAAAACCTTTAGCCATCCTTAGATTTTCTGGGAACAAATTAACTTGGTGGAATCTGTATTTATTAATTACAAATAACCTGGTACAGGAAGGGTTTTAAGTTTAACTTAATAAGAGATCTTGATTAATTCCACACAATATTTGATGTTGGCAATAAAGTTAACTAGAAGAATGCTTTTAAAATGCAGATCTAAAGAAATCATTGAGAAATTCAAGAAATTTATTAGTTCTGTCTGTTCCTAGAACATGTAATGGTCATTGAATTAAAAGGAATGCACAGGAAGGAAATGTAATTTCTCAAAAAATATCTTATGATCTCCAAATAAGTTATTTTATTGCTTTATCAATAATAGCTGTTTGTGCTGAAACATATATTGTTTATTTCAACAGGTGTATACATATATGATATTGTACTTAACTTTATCTTAACCTAAGAGTTGTATGACATACTTAGAGCAGTAGTTACTAATTTATCCAAATAAAGAGTGAAACATTACTGGAAGGCCAACAGATAATAATACTGATTATCTGAAGTTCTCCTTGTACCTGATTTTGTAAATTTTCAATGCTAAATTCATATTTTCCAAAAAATGATAAATGTTTTTAATGTTCATTCAAAGTATCAATGGGTGGGAGTGAAAGTGCACATACCATGACCTTTTACAGAGTACCATTCAGCATGGTGTTATATACAGTTGATGTTAGTTATGAACTATCGATTTTACCCTATATGACTGGTCTGGCAACAGTTCATGGTAGAGGAGAGTAAATACCACATACAATATAAAGAGATACTGAAAAAAACAGTAATATGCATTTTATAGGTTCTAGAGGTTATGCAACTGCAGTATTCAAACTGTATGGTGAATAAAAGTATTTTTATTCTTCAAATAAACACCACCTTACACTCTGACATATCAGTGTCTGAGATAGACTGATATAGTTAATTCACATACATATTTTAAGTACAAATACTTTTATAAAAACACATCTGATTTTTTGTGCACTGCAGGCTTGTACACTAGAAGCTTGCCGTATATACAGTTAAGCATCAACCTTGATGTTTTATTATTTTGTATTTATACAATTCACAGTTTGAAAATATGAGCTTTTTGTTTTTGATTTATAATAATCAAACCAAATACAGTAAAGTAGGGGATAGAGGGACTAGTTGGAACAGTTTTCACTTACAATTTTTGTTTTAAGGAAGAGTGATTCAACTAAGAAACATTTTAAACATTGTTTGTTAGATATATTTGTTAGCTATTACTACTTATTTTAAAATGTTAATCCATATGTAACATCTGGGAAAAAAATGAAGATGTAAAGTAAAGTAAATGTTTCAACCAGCCCCCATAAGTGGGGTTGGTTGAAACATGCTATGAGGTAGGTTGTAACAGCTAGATTCTTATAGACATACAAAGAAAACACTACAAAACAAAGTAATCCTACATCAACTAGGTACTAGCAAGTGATATCTAGGTCATAATTAGGTACTTTTAGGACTCTTCAAACTAGTCTGACTCATCTTCATTTGTATCAGTGTCAGATTCTCAGTTAATGCATAAGTGGGGTTGGTTGAAACATGCTATGAGGTAGGTTGTTACAGCTAGATTATTATAGACATACAAAGAAAACACTACAAAACAAAGTAATCCTACATCAACTATGTACTAACAAGTGATATCTAGGTCATAGTTAGGTACTTTTAGGACTCTTCAAACTAGTCTGACTCATCTTCATTTGTATCAGTGTCAGATTCTCAGTTAATGCACATGTAAGAAAGGTTGTTGTCAGTGCATAATTTATTAGCTCAACCCTTACACACTGTGCATTGCATTCAGGGTTTACTGTTCTTGGGCCTCCACATACTACACAAAACTCTTCTTCTGAAGTTGAACTACTGTCATTATATTTAATAGTAGTCTTTCCTTTTTTTGTGATTGTTGAATGTTTCCATGATCTATCCTTTCACTGAAGGCTTTTCTAACATTTCTTTTTTTATGTGCAACATTTTGCTCTTCATGCAGCATTTTTTTAAATAGACTTAACAAAAAATTATGTTTGACATAATGTGGGGTTGGTTGGAACAGTGTTTCAAACAATCCCACTTCCTGCCATTTTGTAAAAGCTTAAAGTAGCCATATATTTGTCATACCTATTTCAGTAGTTCATGTTTTGTTTGAAATTTTTGTCTCTACATGTTCTAGGGTAAACAACAACTTACCTGCAATTTACCTGAAAATTTATCAACTGCTTAAAAAGTTGTTTCTTGGGCACAAAATCAGACTTGTTGCTCAGATTCTAACAATCACCTCATGGAAAGTATGTCTCTGTAGTTACTACTGCTCTTTGGTGTTGAAACATAAAAAACTTAATTAGATTTTTTTTAAGATGCTCTGTTTCAATCTACCGGGATTACAACCAACACTGCACTCCACTACTTTTAAAATAAATTTCATAAAGGCATTTGAAAATCACCTCTCATCATGAATACTCTCTTAGGGTGAGCCAGGAGAAAGAGGATTTCCTGGAGAATCTGGACCTGTAGGTCCACCTGGAGAACCTGGACCTGTTGGACCTCCTGGACAATCTGGAAAGACTAAAGTAGTGACCGTAGATGGAGTTGTTCAAGTAATTGTAAGTAAAAACAATAATATTGTGCATGACAGAATTCAACCTTATAAATCTTGAAAGCTTGTTGCATGTGTAATTGTCAGTTTAGTGTTAAAAGCTAACATTATTTTGATGCTTATAAAATAATTAATGGGTCTTTGTTATGTTCTTAGTAATCAGATATTTGGATTTGACGAAGTATTGAATATTTATAAAATATATATTATAATAATAATCATCAATTATATGATTTATAGCAAGAAAAAGGTGATCGTGGTCGACGAGGCAGGAGAGGAAAACGAGGCCCTCCTGGACGTCCTGGATTACCTGGAAAACAAGGACCAATAGGAGAAATAGGGTTTCCAGGTTTTCCTGTAAGTCAATTAATCTAAGGAACTAATTGTATATAAACTCTTTTTAAGCATCATAATAGATCAGGTGAAAAGAAGATTGACTAGGAATTACATGTATTACTTCATCAGTGTAACTGAAAACAAAATATTTTTTGCTAAATTTGTAATGTTGTGAAAAAAGTAGTCATTGTGAAAGTGCTGTAATAAAAAATCGTTATATAAAAAACAAACAAAAAAACACACACATGGGAACATGATTTCAGCAGTAACATTTAAAAGCATTTGTTTCTATAATGTAGTGGTTAGTTTGCCCAGACTTTGAACTTTAGGGTTCACACTTCACATTTTGTT